AGAGAGATGGACCATCAGGCATGGTGGCAAACGCCTATAGTCCCAGCATTCAGGGGAAGAGGCAGGAGGATTGCCATGAGTTCAAGGCCAGCCTGGACCACATAGTGAGTTCAAGGCCAGCTTGAGTTACATAGCAAGACCCTGTTGAGAAAGTGAGAGACAGAGACAGAGACAGAGACAGAGACAAAGACAGAGACTGACTAGGCCCATCTCAGAGGGCAGGCTCCTCTCCGTTACTGGCGATCTCTTGCCATTAGCCTGACCCAGAGCCAGGCTGGCACCTGGCAGACCAAGATGATCTCAGGGCAAACGCCCATAAAGCAGGCATGCAGCTGGGGCAGGGACAGGCAGGGGCTGGGGGTAGTGTGTGCTTGGACCTTTGGCCTTTAGGACCAGACCTTGTTTCCTTGGCCATGGTAGTGAAACCAGATTTACAGAGCTTACCCACCTGGACTGATTAGACCTAGCTCTAGGGGCGTGGCACAGTCAGCAGGAAGAGTGGGAAGTGTTGGCCCCACCCTGAGCTTGCCCTGAGACTGACCTGGAGATAGAGCTACTTGGGGAAAGCAAGGTATTTGTGGAGGAGGGAGGGCAGCCTGGGCCCAGCAGGGAGCCCAGCTGGTCACAGCTAGGAGGCAAGTGGGGACAGAGGGTAGAACAAGAGAGAAGCAGGGGTGGGGGTAGGGGAGAGGGACGGGGTGAGAAGCTGGCTGGGTAATAGAGGCATTTGCAAACTGAAGTTGGTGGGTGTGGGATGCAACCAGATTGTGCCCAGAGCCTGGTATTTCTCTTCTCTAAAGTCGGTCTATCAATAATAACCTCAAGGATGCGGTGAAGATTAACCAGAGGTAACATAGCTCCAGGTAGAAGCACCCATCCACAGAGCCTGACTTGGGGGCTGAAGATGTGGGCGCTCTTCCCCTTCCTGGTGGGAATGGATGCATATATCTGTGAGGCACATACACGCAAAGGCAGACACAGACAAGAGGCATGGCATGACCAGAGATGACTGTAGATAGAGTTGCTAGGCCTCTTTGAGTGCTTCCAGTTGGCATCACCCTAGCCCTCGGGTTGGGATTCTTGTTCTCTGAGCCTTCAGTCTGCTTTTCCAAGGGTTAGCTCTAGCTGGGTCAAGTGGATCATCAAGGCCCACACACTCCTTTCCAGAACCTTGGGCTGTCCGTGTAGAGTTAGACCTAGATGTTCCCAGCTATGTGACCTTGGGTGCGCTACCTTACCACTCTGTGTCTCAGAGGATCAGACAGGGAGGGAGAGGTCCAGGACAAGGGCCACCAGAATAGGAAGTGTGCATATATTCAAGCACCTGCATGGATGAGAGTGAGCATGACAGAAAGTGGGTCTGAGACTCTGAATTCCAAGAGGGCAAATCCAGGTTTGCCGTGTGGAAGTGAAAAAGAATGAGAGCTTGGTGTGAACATGTGCACGTGTGTGGGAACATGGGAGGAGCTGAGGAGTATGTGTGTGGCACACAAAGCATGCGTGAACGGGTACAAACGTGTGTGCCTGGGGAGGAGAGTGCTCGGTAGGAGGCTCTGTGGAAGAATAAGAATTTCCATTTAGTAAGCCCTGCGGCAGGCCAGGTATGATGCCAAGCCCTTTATGGGCATTAGCTCATTTGCCCCTCACCACAGCTCTGTGGACAAGGAGCATCTCTAGCTTACAGAAAAGTGACTGATACACACTGAGATGACGTGACTCGCCCTAGGAGACACAGCTGAGCAGCAGTAACATGCTGGCTTGAAGTTTAGTGTACCTTTCTTCCCCTTAGTGTGAGCAGCTGAGCTGGGAAGGAGCTACTCTTAGCTGGGGTGGGGAAGTGAGGCAGGGGGTTGCTGCACAGCCCCTGAGGCTTCTTGCAGGCTACAGATGTTCTACAACCCTGCGTTCACAAGGCCGCAGATACTAATTCTGCAGTTGGCCTTCCTGTGGGCAGGGCTTGTTGGGGCTCCTCTTTGGGTCACCAGCATTGATCCAGTTACAGGCCAGCAGAGGGGCAGAGCTCAGGAAATGTCTACAGACTTGAATACTGAGGGGTGTATTGGGTGTGTGTGTGTGTGTGTGTGTGTGTGTGTGTGTGCATGCGTGTGGTGACACAGAGACCTGAGAGTCTTGGGTGGGGGATGACAGCCAGTATGGTAGGGAAAGATTGGATAAGACAGGGTCCCATCTCGCACATATCCTGCCATCCTCTCAGACTCCCCTGGCAGATCATTTTTCCCTCCCTTGGGGGCCTGACTCACTATATCCGAGGCCTGGCTTGGGTGGGTCAGGGCGTGGGAACTTAGACTCACGGGCCTGGCTGTGGCAGGAAGTAGGGCTAGCCCTGTTCCTGAGGCTCCTGCATCTAGTGTGGGAAAGTTGAGGCAGAAAGGCTATGCCAGGACCGACCAGGGGTGACCAGCGAGTGGAGTAGGCCTGGATATAGTGAGTCCTCTCTTCATTTCCTCTGCTACCTCATGCCCCCTCCCAGTTTGAGCCATGGGCAAATTCAGGAATTGCTTTTGTCTCCCCAGGTCTCAAGCCTCATCTCCCTCATCTGGCCTGGGGCTGTCTTTCCAGGGACAGTGGGCATGTTGGCTTCGGAGAGGGAGAACCTGAGGCTGCATCTGTAGTTGACAGGAATGGCCCTAGCTGATAAGGAGTTTGGGCTGCAACACAGATGACCTTTCCTAGGCCTCGTAGCCTCCTGGAGGACTGAACAAAGCAGAGTCCTGGCCATCCTGAAAGCCGCTGCTTTCCAGGCATGAGCCAGCTTTTAACCAGGAATGAACCAAATAAGCAAGTAAGCAGTTGGAGTGGACATGTTACAAATCGGTATGGATGGGGAATGGGCAAATATTTTGGGGACAGACACACCAAGTGCAAGATCCTGCTCCACCCACTGATCAGCTCAGGGACCTCCCATGTGTCATTTCTTCCCTCTGAGCCTTAGTTTTCCCCCTTAAGTAAAATGGGACAGAAGAACTCATCTTAAATAGAAGTGAAAAGAAAAACATCTAACATGGTTCTTAACACATAGTAGGCGCTCAAATAAGCAGCAGATATTCAGGTTTTGATATCATGGCATGCATTTCGGGGATCCTAGTCTGTCAACTGGACTACCTGAGTGGCCTTGTACTTTTCCTTCGCGATGCTACAGATTCACCCCAGGGCCTCTTACATGACAGGTGTGCACTGTGCCAGTGAACTCCACCCAAAGCGCCCTTGTACCTTGTTCTTATATCTCCTTGCTTAGGCCCCAGAGCAAAGTGCAGCTGGGAGCAGAGAGGCCCTACACAGGTCTCATTCTTCCCTATCTACACAGAGCCATCTCACGCTCAAGTACCTGTCTCTGAAGGTAGGAGTAGCTCAGCATATTCCTTTTTACTTTCTCCCAGATAGAACCACAGGGATCAATCGAAGAAGCAGTGAGAAACTCAGGAGCTCAACCTCCCATTAAGTGATATAATGGATATGAAGCTACACATATAGTAGATCATTTAGGGAATGTTGCTCACCTAATTATCTCCATAAAGAAGCAGCAGGAAGACTTTCCACCCTTGGTAGTTCCAAAGTCAATCCAAACCCAGTTTTTTCTCTTAGTCCTTTCCCATCCTCCGCACAACGGGCAAGGCTACGCCTGCCCCAACTCTTAGATTCAAACGTCTGTGCCAGGCTTGCGTGGGCCACGCCTTCCGGTAGGAGCTCCCGGTTTGTCCCAAGCGTTTGCAGTGCTATAAAGTACCAGCAGGGGGAGACATTAGCACGTGGGTACATCGGCTGGGGTCCGACTAGGGAGAGTGGATCGGGCCGGGAGGGTCTGTGTTATGGGATACAGCCAAATTATAAGCAAAGAGGAAAGGAGGGGCGGAGAGAATGGGCTAACGCTGGAAGACAAAGACCCAAGTGGTGAGGCCAAGAGATGCTGGAATTGGGCATCCCAGAGCCAGGATGCCCACTTACGCTTTTTCGAAAGGCTCCTGCCCTGCACCTTTTCCTATTTGTGTTCTCTTATACCCGCTTGCCTATCCTGGGGCCTTGCACGGGGCAGGACTCTAAATCTGTGCTCCCAGGGGTCCCACTATGCTCAAAGTTGAGATTCTGCAGGCTTAGGTCTCCGTGCAGAACTCGCTTTCTCCTCTGGAAGAGTACTTTTCCTGATTCTCCACCACCCGCCGGTACTGCTTTGGCTTTGAAATAGGGACGACTCATTCTGAAAGTGAAAAGAAGAAAGCCCACCAGAGCCCTAGTGAGACGGGACAGGGAGCAGTCAGGCTGTCCTCGCCCACCCAGTTCTGGAGGCTCCTGAGCCCCAGCCACACACTGCTAACCGCATTTGTTTGGAAAGGCAGACAATCCGTTTCCAGGACGAAAGAGGAAAAGCCCATCAGAGCCCTACCTGTGACGGGACAAGGAGAAGGCAGGCTGCCTTTACCCATCCAGCACGTAAGCCTCCTGAGTCACAACCACCCACTGCTACCGCTGTTATGTTCCGTGCAAACCGAGCGAGCTTTTCGACAGCCAAAGAAGAAAAGAAAAGCCTACCAGAGCCCTAAGTGAGACTGGACTGGAAAAAGACTGCCCTTGCCATGGAAGTGGGCACGGAGCAGGACTTCAGGGCTGCTCTGCGTACCCGCGCATATGCGTGTATAAAAGAGAATGGAAGTACCGTGCTTTCTTGGGGTACTTGGGACAGGGCTAGTCGGCCCCAGGTCAGTGGACGAGGGTGTTGACCAGATGTACAGGGAGGAGAGGAGGCAGCTCTTCAGAAGCGCCAACTTCCCACGGGCTGAGCGCTCTGGCGACAGGACTAAGGGAGACCCAATCCTAACCGCAGGAGCCGCACTCTCAGATTGGTTCCCTCGTGAGCGCGGCGTCCTTAAGAGCTCCCTGAAACTCCGCCCCTTTCCTGCTCTGGGGGCGTGGCATGGGGCAAGGACCCCGTCACGGAGCCCGCTATTGGCTAGGAGAAGCAGGGTTGGCTTTGCGTTCGCCTGAGCAGGGGAGTAGATAGCTTAGAGGTAGCGGAGGGAGTCTATGCGCGCTGGACAGCAGTGGGAGGTGTGTGAGGCTCGCGCTGGCCACAGACCCTCGGGCTCAACCGCCGGGGAGCCCGGACTCGGCGACGGGGCTGCCGGGCTACCCGGCCGAGACTTCAGAGGCGCAAACGGATGGGACTGGCTCGCTCGGCAGCGCCTCACCCCTCTTTTAAGTACACCGAGCGGGGCCCGCGCTGAAGTAGAAGCTGTCGGGGGACGCGCAACCCGGAGTGCCAGTGTGGTCCGAAGGAACAGAGCCCGTACCAGGGCGATCTGGTCGGGAGCCTGGGGACCGAGCTCGCAGTGTGGGGAGACCCCCACTTCTGCCCAGGGGCGCCAGTCCCAGGACGGTTGAGACGTCGGGACAGCCACCGTGTCCTCCGAGAGGAGACCCTGTCGGGGAGAGGGCGCGCAGTCCCGAACAGTCTGGGGAGCCCAGCGGAATCAGGCAGGTCACCCGGGGGCGCAGAGCCCCCGTCACGCTCCGTGCGGCGGAGAGGCCAGAGGAGCGAGCCCTCGGAGGCCGCGGCCCATGCCCAGGTTGGGGGCGCCTGCCCAGTGAATCCTCCTGGCCGGCGGGGCGGAGAAGAGCGACACCGAAGCCGGCAGGAGGAGAGCACTTGAAGGCCCGGGGCTGCGGAGGATGGGCGCCTGAGTGGCTCCGAGAGCAGCGCGGCACGGGAAGGCGAGGCGAGCTTTGCTGAGTAGGCGCCAGGGGATCCCGAAGTGCAGCCTGCTCCCGGGAAGATGGCCCGGCCTGGGCAGCGTTGGCTCGGCAAGTGGCTTGTGGCGATGGTCGTGTTGGCGCTGTGCCGGCTCGCCACGCCGCTGGCCAAGAACCTGGAGCCCGTGTCCTGGAGCTCCCTCAACCCCAAGTGAGTAACTTATCCGCTCCGGTCCCTAGGGGCCGGAGGCACTCCTTCGGGGTGAGGCCGCGCGCCCCCGAGTGCGAGTGGGGAGGTGTCGGAGGAGGAGCGGCGCCCCGTTTTGTCTCCTGCTTTTTCCAGTGTTTTCTTGTGAGCAGGCGAGGCAGGGTGCGGTGGGGTGGGTGGGGGTACTTGGCCGGGTGGTGACCCCTCGGCTTCCCTCGGCTTCCTGGCCCTCGCCTCCGCACGTCTCAGATCAACTCGAGAGGGTCGCACCAGGCGACCAGAGCTAGGGAGTCCGGGTGCTCCAGAAGCCACCCAAAAGCTGGGTGGGGGCGAGAACGCAGTCCTCCCCGGGGCCCCTGAAAACGTGGTGGTTTGCGTCCGAGGCCACTCGGGGGTCTAGCTTGACCTGGGCGGAGGACGAGTCGGAGCACTGGTTTTTCATTTGCTTAGTTGTGAGGGGAACGCGGCGCGGGACCCGGCGCCTGCGGCGAGTAGCAGCGCCTGCATCTCTACTCCGGCTTCTCCCATTTTCATTTCTCTTTCTTCCCTGTTTGCTTCCCTGGCTTCGCTGTCTCTTGTTGCCCCCCCCTCCTGCCGGGGCGGTAGAAAGGCGGGCGCCGCTCCCAGGCTCACAAAGGCGGCGGGTGGAGAGGGGCGGAGTGGGAGAAGGGTTGCGTGTGTGTGTGTGGGGGGGTCTGTCCAGCGCCCGTCGGGGGTCCAGTGGAGCCCGCAGCAGAGCTTCTTGGGGGCCCACCGAGGCACAGTGTGGTGGCAGAGCCAGAGAGGGAGGAGGGTGGAGAAGGAACGATTCCTGCCCAGGCAGGTTCCGTTGATCCCCCACTCTGTGTCCCTCAGATCGGACAGTAGTGCTTAGCTTTCTCCGAGAGGTGTTTTGGGCGGGGGGTGGCTAGCGATACAAAGGAGAGTCTTCCCCTTCATAACTCCCCCCCCCACTCCAAACAACACACACCTTTTAGGGCGGTGGCTCAGTGGTTTGTGGGCTGTTAGTGGGGAGTCGCTGGGCCTGTTGTGACCTCTGAACCTTTTCCTTTTTTGGCAGCCGGGAGTCGGGTTAGAAACTGGGGTCAAAGTCCCTCTCCACTGTTTTCTGGAGGTCCCAGGAGTGTGCGGACAACCCCACTTAGTGGGAAGCTAGGGGCCCCTGACCTGCCCCATCCATGCTTTCCAATTCCTGTAACTGGAATTTCTTCCTGTCCACTCTTTGGAGCGCCCCAATAACTTCCCAGGCTCCTGCGTGCTTTGGCCTCTTGGGTCCCTGGGGGCGGTGCATCTCTTGGCCCTGGAGTGAGAGAAGGCGGCTTCTTTAGTCCTCTTTGGGTTGATATAAGGTGCTATTACACGTCGGTGTGATGGCTAAACCAAGATCAGAGTGGAGGGTTCTATCTCCTACCAAGAAAAGAACCAGCAAGAATTTCTTCTCTACCAAGAAGCTAAATTGGGTGCAGCACTCTCCTGACTGCAGGGGCTCAAAATGGTCTGAGGGCCCTGGGCTAATGATCCCGTGGGGGAAGATCGTGAAGTGCCCAGTTCTGCCCTGTAAGGGTGGAGGCTGGAAATGCTTTTGCGAGCCAGTAGAGTTGAAATCCGCCCGTAGTAGCCCATCCTAGGGGCTCATGGGAGTGACCTAATTGCTCTCTCGGGTCTCTAACCAGAGATAGCATGCAATTCCACAGCTGGAAAGGAGCCGTCCTGCAGAGTTGAGGGCACTGAGAGAAACGAGATCTATCTAAGCCTCCTCCTTTTTGTGTTCTGAACCTTTAGTGTTCTGGACTAGTTTATAGATTTGGGGAGGTTTTGTCCCCTCTGCCTGTCCTTCTCCTCCTCAAGATGAGGGCAGGCATACTGAGGTGGAGATGAGGGTGCTGTGGACTCAGTAGAACCTACCCAAATTCCATCCTGTAATCAAGCAGATCCCGGGAATGGTCCGGGACCTCTCCTGCCTGGTGCACTGCCCCCCACAAGTTCCTTGTACCCTCAGGGGTCTGGAATGCAGCCGTTGTCTGTGTGTGTTGGCTGAGCTTGGAGTAGAGGGCAGGAGGACAGGAGGGAAGCACTGCCCTCGGCTCCGCTGGAGCTCTGGGGGCTGTCTCTGCCACCACACCCAACCTGCAGGCTGACACAGCCTTTCAAATAAGCCGTCTCTCTGTCTGCCTCTGTCCTGCCTAAGCGCCCTGTCTCAGGCCCATGTCGGTCACCCTCTCGCCCTCTGGTAGCCTCCATGAGCTGCGTTCACCTCTCCTCTCCGCCTGCTATGCTCGCCTGCTCTCCTGCTTTCTCACACTCCCTCTCACTCTTAGTCACTCTCTGCTTCTTTTTCTCAAGTCCTTTTGTTTCTCGCACATGCCCGTGCTCTCCCTCGCAGGCTCATTTTCTCTTTTCCCTCCCTTCATCCTCTCCTGGCTTTTGGTCTCTGTTCAGCCCCTTCAGGAGCTGACACCCCCCACACTAAAAAAAAAAAAAAAAATCTCCCAGTGCCTATAAACCCTGCTTAATTGCTTCCTCCTTGGGTAAAAAAAATCAAAATAAAGGATTGGGACTGGGGGTCTGCTTCCAGGTTCCAGGGCACGAAGCCCCAGCCCTAACTGGGAAGGGAAGCCAGAAGGCCAGCTCGAGTCTCCTGGCCTCTCCCCCAGATTGGTGCTGGAGCCTTCTGCCAGGGTCATCCCTGGGTGGCAAGAGCTTCTGCCACTGGACCCCTCCTGTCAGATTTGCCCCAAGAGCCTGGGGTGAGGAGAGGAGATTGTCCCGGTGCAGTCTGGTGGCAATGAGAGTATGTGCCTGCACAACTGGGTGGGGGACTGTGAACTAATGGTCCTGGGGTGGCCTTCTCCCCCAGCTTTCCCCCATCCCTCCGGGGCTTGGGGCAGCCGGCAGGCCTCACACTTGAGTCCTTAGCCAAGTCCAGCTGCCGTAGTTCAGTCTCTCGGTCCTGTTCTGACCTCTTCCTGCCCCCCACTCAGGTTCCCCCACCTCCAGGGAGTGGGAAGAGCCTGCGATCACATTACAGACCTTCCCCGCAAAGGGTGGGGGTTCAGCTTGGCATTTGGGACCCTTGACTGGAGCAGGGGTGGGGGCAGCTGCTGACCCCAACCCATACTTGCCTGTTACAAGCAAAAGGGTTGGTCCCAACCCCCTCACAGCTGTTCTAGCTCACAATCCTGGGGAGACCAGCGCAAGGGGCCCCTTTCTGGTGTGGCTAGGGGCCGGACCCCCTTCTGCTCTGTGGCTGATCAGCCTCAGGCAGGGGCCTGAGAGTGATGAGAACCCAGCCATTCCGTGTTCCGCTGCCTTCCTGCCCCCACCTAGGGCATCCAGGCCAGAGTAAGAAGGGCCTGTGAGGCTGAGGTGGGGACTGAATGGAGGGTTCCCATTCTTCCCTTGGGCTTTTTGTTGCCTTACCAGCTCAGGTGAAGGGATGGGTGGGCCTTGGATACTACTGTGCATCACTGTTTTCGGGGTAGGGGGTGGCTAGGACTATGGGGAGAGTGGGCCAACTGGGAGGCTGCTGGATGCCATGAGAATATGAAGTTTGGGGGAGAGTCCACCCCGTGGTTGTTAGGGGAGCTGAGGGTGGGGGGACGTTTTGGGATCCTTGTCCCATGGATGGTAGAAGCCCCTCCTGGGTGTGTTTTTGTGGCAGTGGTTTTGGGTCAGGGTGCTGCAGCTAGAGGTATAAGCACTTTCAGCTTCTACTTTTAAGTGATACTGTGGTTGGTATGCTAATAAGCAGGCAGCACCTTGCTACTTACAGTGCATTCTCATATATGATCTCATCGGATGTGCCCAACAGCCCTGGGAAGTAGGTATTGGTTCCATTTTCCAGATACTGAGGTGCATGCCCAGAAAAGGGAAGTGCTGTGTCTGCAGTCAGTCAGTGACTTGTCTGAGGGAGCAGATCTGTGCTTTGTGTCATTTTTTGCGTACTGTCCTGCTGCCGTGGAATCTAGGAGAGATAGGAATTGAAGGTGGTGTTTGGAAAGAGGTGCTGGCCCCTGCTACCCCTGGGTTCCCCTCTCATCTCACAGGTGTGCATGCATTTGTCCTTGTGACTCAGGCCCTGTCTGGGTGAGGTGAGCCATGTTCTGGCTTCCTCGTTTAACTTTCTTAGGCCTACATCCAAGGGCAGCCTGCTCCAGTGACCTAAACCAGAGGCAGCCAACTAACTGCCTGGCACTCTCTGAGCTCTGAGTAGCTCCTTTGGTCTCTGTCTGGGTCAGGAACCTTTCCCTCTCAGGCACCCCTTGGAAAATGTTAACCCCCCAGTGGACGCTACGTGAGGCAGAGGAAAGGCATAGTTCACGTAGGTGGGGAGGGTGACTTCCTCTGAGACTCTCCTGGCTTCCCTGCCTCCGACAGAGCTGTGTGTGTGCCAGGACCCAGCTGCTGTACCTGCCCACCCACGCCTGGGCGGGCACTGCTGGGACACGCCAGGCCTGCTCCTGCCGCCTCGGGGGCTGGGTGGAGCTGGGGGAGTGAAAGAGGAGCCTTTAATTTGGGGGCTCCCCACCCTAGCTGGGATGAGAGCAGGCTTGAGCTCTGGCTTGGGGTCTAGCCTGGTCTTACCACCCTGAGGATATGGGCATAGTGAGGGGGTCACCAAAGCAAGGCTGTGGTTAGAGTCTTCCACGAATTTGGATTTGCCTGGCCTGAGATTAGGCTCCCCCTTCAGCCACTCTCTGACCATAGTTTGTTAGGGCCTGAGGGGGAGGGGTAGGAGGAAAGATCACGTATACCTGGTGGGTCATGGGCAGCGTTTTGAGCACAGCTGTCCCAACTTCAAGCTCTCCCCTCTGTAGATAGTATGTGTAAGGTCAGAGACGAGCTCATCTGGACAAAGGGTGCAAGAGGTGAGGAGACTGGCAGGGGCCCATTGGTTACTGTGTAGCCCAGGGTTTGGGGGGGCTGCTGTCCCCAGATCCCACAGGCTTTTCCTATCCCAGGATCCTTTTGAGCAGTCATGGTGGTACTTCTAATCTCAGGGTGACAGGGAAGGGGCAGGCCATAAGAAAGGAGCTAGAATAGTTCATAGGGCTTCCCCCAAGTCCTGTTCCTTGCTAGGGTGGCCACCTACGGTCCCAGGGCCATCAGAGGCTAGGGAAGGAAGGCTTCAGGGGTTACCATGGTGACCTCCTTTGGGATTCCTGCTGGGCCATGTCAATCCCCTTATTTTCCAGAAAAGGGCTTTGTCTGGGGGTGGCCCTGGGCAGGAAAGCTTGGCTTGATAATGGGGGGATGGTAGTGGGTTTTCAGAGGTGGGGTATAAAGAGTTTAACTTGGTGACATCCCTTCTTCCTCCTTTTCTACGCTCTACTCCTAACCTAGTAAGAAAAGCAGGAGACTTAGCATCCCCCTATAAAGTATCACTGGTGTTGTTCCTGGTTTGGGGCTTCACTCTCACCAGCTACCTGCCGACCCCTTGTGATCCCTCACACTTTCTTGGACTTATCATGGGCCAAGATGAAGTTTGCCCACTTGAGGCAAGATGCTAAGAAGGTACTAGTGTGAGGGATCAGGGCTAGCGACTATGGGTCTCATCAGGCTCCGCTCCTTTCTGCACTTTAGGGGAAGGTGAGTTTCCCTTTGCCAGCTGCTATGCAAATGAACTGATGCATATTTATGAAGTCTGTTCATTGAGGATGAAGAGATTCGGAGGGTTGTGGGGGTCAGTAGTCTTTTCTTCTTCCCCCTCCCTCACCATGGAGACATCTGGTTCTTTAATATCTCTAGATTCAAGGTAGAAGAACCTCAACTAGCTAAAACCCATGTTCCAGTCCTGGTGCGCTGGGCCAAGTGGTTAGAAAGGTCAGCTGGCCTGTTCCCTTTGCAGTCTCTCTGTGTAGCTATGTTCACATGTCTTGTTGAGGTGTAACTATGTAAGGATCAACCAATGATTTAGGTCCTCTCAGATCCCTAGGGAGTTACTATAGGGTTTAGGCCCTTGGCGTTGGCTTTGAGTGCCTCTCTTAAATGGGAATGTTCATCTGATCATTCATTCACTCATCTAAACGACCTGCACTCCATAGGCCTCTACAGTTCCTTTGGACTCTACGATGGTGGAAATAGTCTTCCTCCCATCTGGACAGAACCAATGTGAGCATCAGAAAGTGAAAAACGCCTTGGGAATTACAGAAGCTTTTGTGAAATTTGCGGGCTTTGTATGGTGCATGGGGTGGGGGTATTCCCTCTCAAATGTTTATTTGGGCTACTGTCCCATGCCTGCTTCCTTTCTGGTCCCTGTAGAGATGTAAAGTTAGGTACTAAAGGAGATGCCACCCCATTCTGGCTTTTACTCTCCTGAACCTCAAGATGATAGCTCCCACCTTCATAGAGTGCCACTCGACATGGAAGGAGGGCTGGCTTTCTTCATCTGCCTCACCCACATGGTGAATTCTCCTCCTTGCCTAGTGGGGTGTCAGTTCCCCTCCTTCGATGGGGATACCAATGAAGGCAGTTGCCCAGAGCTCTTATTGGGCCCTCGTTGCTTGTCTCCACTGTCTCACTGGCCCTCTTCCCAGGTGATGGTAATAACTTACGAGTTGGTATTCTTCACCAACATAGTTGTGCGGTGCTGTCAGCTTCACTCTCTGTAAGCACTGCCTTCACCTCTCCATTGTCCTTCTTGCTAGAGGGTCTGTCAGCAGTGAGATGAAACCCACACTGCTTGCTGCGGACCTTGAGACCTTAGTGTAGCCCTACCTGCTCTCCACCTCCTTTCTTCCTCTCTATCTTTTCTAGCCAAGCTGGACCAATCACTGCTCTTTACTCTTGCTCTGTGTTAACATCTTATTTTTTACCCAGGACCTACCATTGTCTTCCTCTTCCTTTTTCTCTTCTTTTCTTTTTCAGTACTGGGAATTGAGCCAAGGGCTTTTGTAATGAGCTACACTCCAAGTCATTTTTTTGTTTTGAGACAGGGTCTTGCTAAGTTCCCAGGCTTGGCTTGAACCTGTGATCCTCCTGCCTCCACCTCCCGAAATGCTAGGATTACAGACATGCACCCCTATACTTGGCTGTATCCTGCCCTTTCTATGGAACCATCTCTGACCATCCTGGTCAGATGGACCATCTCCTTGCTCTCACTGCCTCCAGCCCTGGCTGTTTGAAACACCATCCTCATACAGATTGCCTGGAGCTGTCTATCACTAGAATGTGACCCTTTTCTCAGCCAAATCAGACAATAAAGTCCTTGACAGTGGGGCTGTATCTTTACCATTTCCCATTGAAGAAACAAGATTGGGCTTATAGGGACTTAGTGTTGGTATCTGATCTTCTGCCTCTTAGCAAACTATTTCTAAGAAGGATTCAAACATGTTGAGCCCTTAGTGTGGGCTAGGTCCTCTCCATACGCTACCTTGCCTGCCTTCCACAACCCTGGTGGTAGGGGCTCTTACCACCCAGTTTATAAGTAAGCAAACTAACTCCAAGAGGAGTCAGGCAGTTCATCAAAGGCCACAGAGCTAATGAGGGCCTCGTCTGGGAGTCTGATTCCAAAGCCTGTATTCTTCCTCCTATACACTGCCTTGCTCTCAACTCTACCCAGACCAGGCTCCGAAATGGCCACCGCACCTCCACTTCCTTACTGTGTGATTAGGCAAGGACAGTGTCTAGTGAATAGGTGGCCCCGGGCATCTGGCCTCCTATACTTTCCCCCAGTGCCTGGCCTTCTAGCTTAACTCATAAACTGTGGCTCAAAAGGCTTTTGTCCATCTGCTCTCATGGTTGGCAATAGGAGTGGTCTGGAGGTGAGGGGTTGGAACATGAATGAGTGGGATACCTGAGGTCCTGTCTTTTTATGATTTGTTGTCCCTGGTTGGGCCGCTTTCCTCCTTTCCTCTCTTAGGAAGGAGACTGGTGTTTAGGGATTCAGACTCTTGCACTGCGGGGGCCAGTAGTATGGAGTTGTACCTAGCCAGAGACTATGACCATCATCCCTTTAGCTTTAGGCAATGCCTGTTCCTATCTCCCCATCGTGTGCAAGATTAACAAGAATGGGGGAAAAGGCACGGGTCCCAGACAGGTTGAGCTCCCCAGCCTTTAACTGGGAGTTGCGGGGGTGGTGGCTAAGGCATGTGTGGGCTTGTTCTCTCCCTCTCTCTGTCTCTCTGTGTGTGTGTGTGTGTGTGTGTATGTATGTATGTAAGTAGGTAGGTAGCAGTGCCCATAAAGGACTGTGAATGTGTTCGGGGGTAGGGGGACAGGCCCTCCACCTCCAGGCAGCCTGGGAATGACACCTTGGTATCCAGCCCATCTGGCCACGTCAGCCCCCTGCGGAAATGCCACATTAGGACAAAGGGCTCCCCCAGGTAGGCAGTGCCCCACCCTGCCAAGCACTTAAAGCCTGGCAACCTTGCCCATGGGCCACCCCTTCCACGCCCTGCTGGCAGTGTGGCTCTCTCTCTCCACCCTCATCTTGGGGATGGAGGAAGGGCACACAGCCTGCTCTCGCCATCTCCACCCAGTAGGCCCAGCCTGGCCCTTACTGTCCACTCCCTGATTCTGGGATGGCGTGGGACCCCTCAATCCTGACGCTGATCATCTCCTCCCTTCTGGGCAGGTTTCTGAGTGGGAAGGGCTTGGTGATCTACCCGAAGATTGGAGACAAGCTGGACATCATCTGCCCCCGAGCAGAAGCAGGGAGGCCCTATGAGTACTACAAGCTGTACCTGGTGCGGCCAGAGCAGGCAGCTGCCTGCAGTACTGTGCTCGACCCTAATGTGCTGGTCACCTGCAACAGGCCAGAGCAGGAAATCCGCTTTACCATCAAGTTCCAGGAGTTCAGCCCCAACTACATGGGCCTGGAGTTCAAAAAGCACCATGATTACTACATTACCTGTGAGTCCCCTCGCGTCGTGTGGCACTCCCTTCCGAGGCTTAGCTCTGTCCCCCCCTGCAGCAGTGGGAGCTTCTGAGTGGGGCAGTGATACCACACACAGTGAAGGCCCTGCTGTTTGAACACTGGCATGCTCTCTGTCCGTGTGGCCTTGGAATTCTGGCCCCAACATTCAGCACATACCCTGCCCCCTGCTTGTCTTGGCTACAAGGGTTGGGTGGGAGAAGCCTCCAGCTCATTGCTTTCTCTCCTTTTCTTTGCCCACCTAAGAACTAATCTTGAGAATGGCAGAGGTGGCAGAGCCATTGGGATCTGTTCTACCTTTTTCTTCTCTGGAAACTGAGGCTTCAGGCTTTTTGCCTTATTACACAGGAAGTTGGAGATAGGATTGGGACTCTAGCCCAATCCTCTTGACTCCTAATCTACATTTCCTGCCATTGTGTATAGAAGCCTCTCTTGCGATGCCAGTTCCCATTGCTTTACCTCCGAGCAGCATGTTGCATTGCCCCTGAGAAAAGGGGGGCCGAGGCCTGATCATGGGAGATGAGCAGTGCCCCTGGATGAGGGCCTTGCTCCTGGCCTGGCTGAGCTGGGCTGTTCTCTTCTGAGCAGGAACGGGAGAAGTAGAAAGGTTCATGGATAGGTGGGAGCTGCTGGCCACTCCTTGCCCCAGTTCTGTCCTTGATGTCTGAGGGCAGCTGTGGGCTTTCTGGTGAATGCTGCAGGCCTTTCCACCTTCTTAACTTCTCTGACTGCTCTGGCCTCCTCCTGCAGCAACATCCAATGGGAGCCTGGAGGGGCTGGAGAACCGGGAGGGTGGTGTGTGCCGTACACGCACCATGAAGATCATCATGAAGGTTGGGCAAGGTGAGTACCCAGTTCGAGAATCCCGTTAGGCCTGGGGGTGGGTCCTGGGAGCAGGAGAGGGGCCTTAGGGTTAGACTCACTGGGGACTGATGTGCAAGCCATTCTCGGCCGCCCTATATTGGCAGGGTTCCTCCCTCCCACCTGTCTGTCCTCTTCCTGCCCTCAGATCCCAATGCTGTGACACCTGAACAGCTGACTACCAGCCAGCCTAGCAAGGAGGCAGACAACACTGTCAAGACAGCCACACAGGCCCCGGGTCGGGGCTCCCAGGGTGACTCTGACGGCAAGCATGGTGAGCATATACAGGTGTTTCCTAGAGAGAAGCCACTGCTTACTTGTGTCTCTGAAGAAACGCAGGCTGGGCCCAGCCTAAGATCTGCCACGTATCCCTAGCGAATATAGGTGGCAGCAGGGCCCCTGACGGTATCTTCTACTCCAAGGTGATTGCTTATGGCTGTCAGTGTTGGCTGTGTCATCTTTCCCTGACTGCGTGTTTTGGCCTTCCCCTTTCTCAGAGACTGTGAACCAGGAAGAGAAGAGTGGCCCAGGTGCAAGTGGGGGCAGCAGCGGTGACCCTGACAGCTTTTTCAACTCCAAGGTGGCATTGTTTGCAGCCGTCGGTGCTGGCTGCGTCATCTTCCTGCTCATCATCATCTTCCTGACGGTTCTACTACTAAAGCTGCGCAAGCGGCATCGCAAGCACACACAGCAGCGGGCAGCTGCCCTCTCACTCAGTACCCTGGCCAGTCCCAAGGGGGGTAGTGGCACCACGGGCACTGAGCCCAGTGACATCATCATCCCCTTACGGACTACAGAGAACAACTACTGCCCCCACTATGAGAAGGTGAGTGGGGACTATGGGCACCCCGTCTACATCGTCCAGGAGATGCCACCCCAGAGCCCGGCGAACATCTACTACAAAGTCTGAGTGCCCGGTGCGGCCTTGGGCCCTGAGGGACAGATGGCCTGGACTGGACCTCTCCTTTTCCCCCCATGCCCCACCCCTGCCAGCTGTGCCCACCTTTGTATTTAGTTTTGTAGTTTCTTGGCTTTTATAATCCCCCTTTTTCCCTGCCCCCTGGGCTTCGGAGGGGGTGCTTGTGCCCCCAATCCCCATGCTCTTGTGCCTTCCCCCTCTGGCCAGGCCTCTGGGCTCTGTGGGGGCACCCTTTCTTGGAGGGCAGGGTTGGACGCTGATAGACAGCAGGCGGGGAGATGGCCCCCTGGCCCCGCCCCCTCCCTCACTCCCTTCCCCTTTCCCAGGACTGCTTGTCCACTATCATCACTGTTTTTAATGCTTTTGTGTTCATTTTTTTAGCTGTCAACTCATTTTCATCTGTTTTTTTGAAGAAAAATGGAAAAAATATACAAGGCAGCCCCTCCCCAGGCTCTCTAAGCCTGGCTTGACCCAGTATAAGAGGGCCTGGGGCAGGATGTGGCCAGCCAGGAAGCAGAGGATGGCATTGCTTTTATAGACTCCTTGGTATTTCAGGGGGTGGAGCGAGCAGGCCAGGCCCAAAAGGGAGAGTGCCACTGGCCAAGGTGTACCACCTTCCCTGCTTCCACAGAGCTGATCCTGGCAATGGGGTAGTGGCTGCCACCCTTCCACCAAAAAGAAAAAAAATATCCCTTCCTTGTGGGATTCTTGGGCATCTCTTGCCTCCCTCACTCTCACGGTAATTAATGTCTTAATTGGCTGTTGCCTGGGGAACAGCAGAGCTGCTGCAGGCAGATGACCTCATGGGGGGTGGAGGAAAGTGAGGTGCCCAGGTGGCTATTTGCCCTGCAGAGCTGGGAGTTCCCCACCGCCGCCCTGTTCTCTCCTTACCTTTGCCATCCTTTGGCCTGGTGGGGAAACAGAGGCCCAAGGTGGAAACCTAGGCGGGTATAAGGCCAGGTGGCCTGCTCCTTTTCTGGGCTTTAGCACAGATGGGTGCCCTCCCACGCCCAACCTGACCCCCCCTGCCCCTCCTCTCCCCCCAGTCACGGGCTGGGGCCTGGAAAGAGGAAGAGGCTGCCCAGGATTGCCCGCTGTGCACTTTGACCCCGGCTCCTTGCCAGCACGGCTGCTAGCAGACTGCCACTGGAGCGTGCCTTGAGGCACTCCTAGAGCAGCCATGGAAGGAGCTGGGCCTTACAACTATCCACCTCCACACTGCCTCCTGGCCAGCTGCCCACCCTGGTGCCAGGTGGGAGAGGGAGCAGAACAGCCAGCCCCTTCCAGGTGGCAGTCGGAAGGGTTGTTTTGTTTTGTTTTGTTTTGTTTCTGTTGCCATTTGTGTAAATACTAGTCTTTTTGGAAAAAAATAATGTAAAGATGTTTTGTATAAACTCTGAATTATTTTCTTGTTGCTTTTTTCTTAGAAAAAAATGAGAACTAAAAAAAAAAAATTAACCACATGGAGAAATGAGTGTAAAATGGTGTCGTGATGTTGGGGAAGGGAGTGTAAGAGTGTGTATTTGTATGCACGTGTGCGTGTGTGTGTGTGTGTGCATGTGCAGGCACTGTATGATGTGTGCCCAAACCACAGGTGACTGGGGCAGGTATGGGAAGAGGGTGGCTGTCCTAGCAGACTGAGATGTTTCAAGTGCCCTGTGCTCCTCCTGCTGCCCCCTCCCCTCCTAGGTTTCTCTGTCCTCCAGTTCTGCTATCACAGAGCCTGGGACCGTTCTCTCCCATCCATCCTGTCACCTCTGTAGCACAGGCCATAGGCATCTGCCTAGCTTGGCACCTGGCTCAGCTAGAAAGAATTGACGGGGGCAGGGGTGCTCCCGTGGGGACTTGAGTGTGTCCACACATACTGCCACCACCTGGCTGCGACTAGATCTGGAACCTGCTTGCAGGTCCAGCCCTGCCCTGCTTCAAGACACTGGAAATAGATAGAAATAGCTTCCTAACAGCCGAGTCCCAGCCTCAGCCTACCAGGTACTAGGGTGGCTTCAGGATGTCTCGTCCATCTCTCAGATAGAACATCTTCCTTCTCTTGTGTTCAGAGCTGGCCACGCCAGAGCTGACTGGTAGTGGAAGCCCTGAGGTTGGGGCAGCCCTAAGCACTCCATCTCCCTTCCACAGGCTAAAGAATAACTTGGTTGATGAGGGCCCTGAAGAAGGCTTGGCCTTGATCCCATGGTAGAGCTGCAGACCCGCAGGGCTTGGGGCTTCCCTGCTCCAGCCGGAGCAGCTTGTGGGTCTTGTGGGAGGACTCCCTGCGGAGATGGTGAAGACAGATGTCAGGGGAGGAAGAAAGACAAGTGAGATCTCAGCAGCTAAAACTGGGTAAGAAGGCCACAAAGGAATGGAGGAGGAGGAAGGAAGGGGAGGGTAAGTAAGGAATCCAGAGGAGGAAGCCCTAGCAAATCAGCCAGGGAGCAGGCCGGGCTCTGTGGGAAGAGGGGAGCACACGGAGAAGGAAGGGAGAAGAGAGCTATGGGATTTGCAGGCAGAAGGAAGGGAGGCTGGACTAAAGCAGGGTTGGGCTAGGGTGCTCCTAGAGCCAGCTGGGGCAGAGGCTGTTTATTTGGTTTCTCATTAACCAAAGGAAGTGCCTGGATCAGATGGGGCCTCTGCTGTTTGACTGCCTGCCCAGAGTGAGGGCTTTAGGCTGGGGTCTCTAACCAGGGCTGCTCCGGCCAGATGAGTGCCTCCAACTGAGGCAGAGCTGGAGCTAGGCTGGGGAAGCACCTCCTGCGCTTCTCCAACTGAGTGCCTTTGAGTATTTCCCACCAGGTTCAGGCTAGCTGCTGCCCTTGCCAGACAGGTGGGGGATGGAATTCCTAGGGGCCCTGGGAGTAGGCTGTGGAATGTAAGGTAAAATTGGAAGGAGAGGACTGAAAGAAGAATGGGGCCGTCCATTGGACAGCGCAGGGGCTTGCGTTCAGCATGGGCTCTCTGGCTGCCCACACTGTACTGATCACACTGTGGTGCTTAGTTACTCCTTGTGGGTAGCGTCCTTCACTGAGCTAGTGCCTGCTGCTTTTATTAAACACTTTTACATATGTTATCTCATCAAGCCTTGTTAAATGTCGTGAGAGGGTGGCAGGTAGGAATTATTTGCCTCCTGTTTGAATTGAGGAAACTGAAACCCTACCTGTAGCTTGCCCAAGCGCACAGGTGAGCAGGGACACTAGGATTGCAGCCCAGGCATTTTACACCATGAGCAAATAGCAGTTTCCTGAGAGCAAGAGGCATGACTCCCCCTCTTTTTCCTCCCCTACTTCTTGCCTCTTACTTCCTTGGAGATCTGGAGGAACAGGAGCCCTCCCTACTCCCAGCTCCATTCTCTTCCCATCTGTCTGGGTCAGGGAGGAAGCAGGTTTAGCTTGCTGGCAGCAGGTGGTGTGAGCCTCCAGTGGTATGGCCCCAGAGCTGCCCCACCCTCACTCGCCTTCCTGTCCTAGCTGGGCCCAAGCTCCTGGTGACTCAGGGATAGAGGATGCTTCCCAGGTGAGGGTGGGGCTGCCTGGCTTCCTCCGAAAGCTGAACCCAGTTTGCCCATGAAGCCAAATTGAGCAGATGCTAGCCAGGCCTCAGTTTCCCTGGAGGAACAGGCTTTATAAGGCTAGAAAGCCAAGGCTCATGTAACCTTGTGCCAGTCAATGTTAAGCTCCCACAAGACCTCCCTGAGGCACAAGGGATGTGGATGACCTGACACCCTCAGTACAGAGTCATAAACGTGGATTGAAGAACTCGGGTAACCCAGCTGGGGCCATCCTAGGTTGGGCTGCTGAGCAAGTGGCCCTCCAGCAACCTGGTATCAATCACTCTCGGAAATCCGGCCTGCCTGCCTGCCTGCCTGGCCTCCTGCTCTGCCTGGGCACGTCTCGGTCCCTCTGACACCCCAGCTGAGTCAGCCCCAGCCTGCCTGGGGACCCTCCTCGCCCATCTGCTGCCAGCCTCCTATACAGCTGGCCATTGGATCTGGAGGGCTGGGACCCCAGCTGGTGCTTGTTAGGTTGGCTCCCCCTTTAGGAGACTGCTGAGGGGGAAAGCAGCCCCCACCCAGAACAGGGGTCACAGGGCCCAAAATGAAAGCAATTCAAGGGCATGGGGGAGACAGTGATTATAGGGTCTGTTTCCAGTGGCTAATTATCCAGCAGGCAAAGAGAAAGGAAAGAAGGGAAAACTGGGGGATGGGAAAAATGAGGAACTTGTGAAAGGAGATGGGAAGGTAGAGGCCTTTGCCTTAATCCGGGGGAAGGGACCCGGGCTGAGAGGCTAGATGCTGAGGGCCTGTTTTCTCTGCCATGACTTCCTTTCTGACAGGGGCATGTGGGTCCCTGCCTCACTGGGCCTTAATTTCCCTGGCTGGTTGGGAGAATGGTATCAGACTTATTCAGAAAGTATTTACCAAACATCTGCTATAAGCCCGTCCGTGATCGGGACACTGGATTATCAGCAGAGGTGAGGTCCCAGGGACCTACTATTCTAAATGCCTTGAGTGCTCGGCTAACTCGGTGCTCCTGTGATGACTGGGTGGTGGGAATGTGAGAGGCAGAATGGAAGATACATGGATGAAAAACTTGGGTTCTAAAGTTGGTCTTTCATTTATTCATCTATCTATTCCAACAAGTGTTCGATGCCTAGCACACGGTAAGCACCTGTTCTTTCTCCTGTGAAGAATGCGGGAGGGGGCAGTCTGGCTTTGGGGCTTTTGGGAGTTCTTGCCTTGAGAATGGACCCCAAGATCTGGCTGTTCCTGCCATCAGTGTCCAAAATTGGCGTTTTGCAATGTTTCTAAACATCTGCATGAAAAAGTTATCTGGCAGCTCTGGGACCATGTACCCAAGATCACTTTCCAAAGCCTGTTGGTAGAAGCTGCCACGACTAACAGAGGTGTCCTCAGCCCTGGGCTGTCCCTGTGGCTCCATGGTTGGGTTCCCCCAGCCCATCCAGAGGTGGTGAGTGAGGACCTGGCTTCTGAGGGAAGGGGCTTCCCTCTTTCTCTGGCCAAACCCTGGGGAAAGGCTCTCTGTGGCTTTTTCAGTTCCAGCTTCTGGAAATCCTGAGATCTATGCCTGTACCCTGGCAGAAATCTGGAGGTCTTACTTTCAGGGGGGCAAGCTGGCTGGTGGCCTGGCCTCCCTAGCTGCCCTACCTGCTTAGTACAATCCAAGAAATTAGAGACCAGAAATGGTACAGCTAGGACTTTCCTGAGAACTCCTTTCGAGACCAAAGTCCTCATGAGGAAACTGAGGCCCAGAGACTGGAGAGGATTTACCCAAGGATACACAGAGACTGCTGGCAGAGCCGGGCCTAGGAACCAGCTTCCTGCGTCACAGGCCAGAGCAGGTTGCCTTTC